TCTCTGCACTCTCTCGGACACTACAGCAGAGCAAGATTAAACGCTGTGTGTGTGTATGTGTGTGAGAGAGTGTGTGTGAGTGTGTGTGAGTTTGTGTGTGATTGTGTGTTTGTGTGTGTGTGTGTGTGTGTGTGTGTGTGTGTGTGTGTGTGTGTGTGTGTGCGTGTATGAGTGTGTGTGTGTGTGTGTGTGTGTGTGCGTGTGTGTGTGTGTGTGTGTGTGAAGTGTGTGTTTGTATGTTTTGAGCAGTTCAGATGTGTGTGTGTGTGTGTGTGATCTGCAGCTGTGCAGTGCATGTGTCCGTACGGATCTGTGTGACTGTAAGTGATCTGTCTCATGTGTTTATAGTGGGGAGCCCCTCATCTCTCTCTCTCTCTCTCTCTCTCTCTCTGTGCGTGTGCGCATGTGCCTGAGCGAGTGTGTTGTGAGCGAGTGTTGGGAAAGTGCGGTGAGTTTGAATGGTTCTCTTTCTAACTTTTCTTTCTTTGTTTGTTGTTTGTATACGTGTGCTGTTGGTTAGTGTTTGTGAGTGTAGTGAGTTTACTCCCGGCGTGTTTTGTTGCCGGGAGGTATGGCGTCGTCAGGAGACGCAGTTTGTGAAAGTTTGACTCGGCGTCATGGAATTAAAATCATGTGTAAGGCCAGTGTGGAAGATTGTATTCTAGCGGTTGGCGAAGTAGTGGGATGTTCATCGGTGGTTTCAGCTTCTAGGATGAACAATGCGGTTGTTTTGTTTTTGAACACGATAGAAAAAACTAATGAGATTGTGCAAAAAGGAGTGGTGATAAATGATGAACTCATACCTGTACTTCCTCTTAGTAGTCCATCAAGGAAAATTATTGTGTCAAACATACCTCCGTTTGTTTCCGATGCATGCATTGCAAAAGAATTATCTTCTTTTGGCAAATTAGTTTCACCGATCAGGAAAATAGCTCTTGGGTGTAAATCACCCATGCTTAAACATGTGATGTCTTTTAGAAGACAAGTTTATATGATTCTGAAAGACAACAATGACGAATTAAACCTATCGTTTAATGTCAAAGTAGATGGGTTCAATTACACCATTTACGCAACATCCGAGAGCATAATGAAGTGCTTCGGGTGCGGAAAAATTGGGCATTTAATTCGATCGTGTACAAGTGGAGGTGAGACAGGTCAGGGAGACGTACAAGGCGAGTCTTCTGCGGCTGCGTCTGTCGCGGTAGATGCAGTGGCGCAAAAAGGGGGTATGCAGTATATGCGGCGCATAGGGGCGCCACACATGGGGGGGCGCCATTGTGCCAAAACTATTTTTGAAATTATTCTTACTAAAAGTTTCAAATAAAAAAAATAAATAAATAAATATGTTTTGTTAAAAATGTTTTTTTTTTTTTTTTTGCATTTTGTATGAGTACAATATTGTATTTTAATAAATAAAAAATTATACCATGAGTTGCATACGTTGGCACACACATTTTAATTCAAAATCAACACAATAACATGCAGTCGCAGAGCCAAGTGTAAAGTGTTCATGTAAATGTAACTTTAGATTTTTTTTTTTTACAATTTTTATCAAAATAAAACTGTCAAATCATACATACAGTACAGTTGAGGTCAAAAGTTATAAGATTAATCTGAATTTTTTCTTTATTTATTATTATTTATTATTAATTATTTAATTATTTTGCTTAAATAAGAGGGATCACACAAAATGTATGTTCATGTAAGTACAGACCTATTTCACATAAACCGATATTTCAGATAAAATATTTGGATTAAAAATTCACCTATATAAATATTATATACTTGATTATAATGATTCTTAACCCTCTTAAAGTTGACACATGAACAAATTGTCCGAATATTCACATTTTTTGGAACTGAAATGTTTTTAATCCTTCTATCAAAATCCATTTTATACAATATACATGTTTTTATAAATTTATTATGTGTCATATTGATACATCAGGCCTTTTGGTAACTTTTTTTGTTCAAAACTATTTTATTTTAGTTACAAAACTTGAACCCGCATACCTCTCAGTATATGTGTAGTTGCGCCCCTGGGTAGATGCCGCTGCACCTGCGGCTGATGCTGCGGTCTCTGAGGAGAGAGGCGGGGGAGGTGCGGTGGCTCCTACTATGGCAGAGGTAGTAGCAGGCTCGTCTGCTGTTCAAACCTCAATTAATTCTAAGGATGACACAAGTAGCCAAAAGGCAACTTTTTCCACAGCTGGAACAGCTAAGGAAAGTACAGGTGAAGGGATAGTGGAAATGGAAATTGAACCAGAGCAAATCTTTAAAGTTCCTAATAAAAGAAAAAAAGTCAGTGAAAACAAAATGATCAAACAAGCAAAAAAAGACAAGAGTAAGGCTGATTATATAATATCAGATAACGATGCTGATTCTTCTGATTCCAGTTCTTCAGTTTATTCCTTTTCATCGCAAAATGAAAGTGAAAGTCAAACACAAAGATATACGGCTGAGGGAATCAAGAAATTTCTGAGGGAAACAAAATTTTTACCAAACGTGGAGGCTGAGGATTATTTTGAAGATGTTTCTGCTTTCGTGAAAGATGTAAAGATTCTGACTAGAGAAGGTGCATTCATAGACACAGAGGTTTATCGTCTAAGGAAATTAGTGGGTAAAGTAAAGAAAAAAAACCTCCTTAATGATGAAAAACCAGATTTGGTGTAATTTGTTCTTGGTTAAGGTTGCAGTATTTCTGATTGTTTCTTTTATTTTTAAAACATCATTTACTATGAGGGTGTTTAACATTGGAACTCTCAATTTAAATGGTGCTAGAGACAGTCAGAAAAGAATGTGTTTATTTGAATTCATAAAAATGAAACGCCTAGATGTCACGTTTATTCAAGAATCACATAGTGACAATCTTAATGAAATAAACTGGAAGAAAGATTGGGATGGTCAGATTTTTATGAGCCATTTGGCTTACAACAGTGGAGGAGTAGCTGTTTTGTTTTCTAAGACAGTGTCTCCACTGTCCGTTGAAACAGAAGAAATAGTTAAAGGCCGTTTTTTGAAAGTCAAAGTCAAGTTTGAACATGCAACAATGGTGTTTTTAAATATTTATGCTCCTAATAAAGGAGCTGAAAGAATAATTTTTTTAAAGAAGTTTTGTGATGTTATCAATAATGTAGATTCAGAAGATTTATTGTTTTTAGGTGGAGATTTTAATTGCACAGAAAATGATAAAATGGATAGAAATCATTTAGAACCACATAATGCTTCGCAGAAAGAAATGAAGAATTTAGTACAAGTTTGTGATTTATGTGATGTGTGGAGAAATGTACATTTAAATGATAGACAATATACTTGGGTACATAGCAAAGATAACCAAATTTCTATGGCAAGACTTGACAGGTTCTATATGTTTAAGTTTCAAATAAATTATGTCAAAGATTGTCGTATAATTCCTGTTGGGTTTTCTGACCACTGTTCGGTTATTTGTAAGATTTTTGTCAATTCGGTGAAAGTAAAAAGTGCATACTGGCACTTTAATACATCACTTTTAAATGATGAAAATTTTAAAGAATTTTTTTCTGTTTTTTGGGAAAATTTTAAAAAACAAAAACAAATGTATTCTTCACTGCAACAATGGTGGGATTGCGGGAAAATACAAATTAAACAGTTATGTAAAGAGTACACTTTTAATGTTACTAAAGAAACAATGCGAGCAATGAAAGAGTTAGAAAAAAGTATAACAGAACTTTTAAATACAACAGCTTCTACAAATAATAGCACTGATTTTGAAGAAAGTAAAACTAAAAAAGATTTACTTGCAGATTTATTGAATGTAAAAGCAAAGGGTGCTTTAATACGTTCTCGGTTTCAAAATATTTCAGAAATGGATGCACCTTCAAAATTTTTCTTCAATTTGGAAAAAAAGAATGGAAAAAGCCGATTAATACATTCACTAAAGTCTGAAACAGGAGAAGATATTACAGATTCTAGTAAGATTCGCAAATATGCAGTTAATTTTTATTCATCTTTATATAAATGTGAAGTATTACAGAGGGATGTTGAAAACTCAGTTTTTTTTGAAAATCTCTCTAAAGTTGATGATGAATCCAATGCAATGCTTGAGCTGCCTATATCACAAGATGAATTATATACAGTAATGATGAGCATGGAAAATGGCAAATCGCCTGGCATTGATGGAATTCCTGTTGATTTTTATAAAGTTTTATGGCCAGTGATTGGTGAAGATTTGTTTTTAGTTTTAAATGACAGTTTAAATAAAGGATCATTGCCTTTGAGTTGTAGAAGAGCAGTTATTACTCTTTTACCCAAAAAAGGAGATCTTCAAAAAATAGGTAACTGGAGACCTGTGTCACTT